CAAGTTTGTCAATTTCTCTCCCAATAGTTCTAGAATGAAGAAATCAAGAGGAAGACCACAGTCCAAACGGCCTTCTCTTACCCCCTTACATGGGCCAGGGGTCATGGCGTATGTGACATCCAGAAAAGCAGCTACTGCCACGTCCAGGCCTAGCATTACTTCCCATGTCTGCAACATGCAGAACAAACTCAAGTCCTGCCCTCAAGATCATGGGCTCCGAGAAGCTAACCAATCATAAAATACACAGTTACTAAGTGTTTAAATGATGTTCTGAAACATGTCAGGACAGGCTTCTCTGAGGAACTGACATTTAAATTGGAACTGAAGGATGAACAGGAGTTGGCATTGTGGGACTGGGGAGAGCGCTCTGGACAGAGTGAAGGAAGAGTCTGAAGACAGGAGGAGGAGGGTGACACCACGGCTGAGGGAAGCACAGGGATTAAGAGCGAAGTGGACAGGACAAGGCTGGAGGGATGGATGCTAGACTTTACAGCCCCACCAAGGACTCTGTTCCTTATCCTAGGAGCAATGAACAGTCCCTGATGTTGTAGGTTTTTGTTGTTGTTTTTTTTAAGAATTCCTTTTATTTTCTCATTGTGGTAAAATATATGGTAACTTAAAATTTATCATCTTGGGCCAGTCCCATAGCAAAATGCTTCACTAAGGGGTGCTTTCTTTTTCTCTCTCTGGTAAGCACAAGTGCCCTCTAGCAATTGAAAAACAAAAGGGTTATAGCATTTTTAATACCATTCAGTGGCATTGAATACAGTTAAATACTATTGTGCAATGATCATTACCAACCATCTCCAGGATCCTTATTTTGCAAAACTGAAACTCTTTACTCATTCGACACTAACTCCCCACTCTTCCCTTCGCCAGCCCCTGGCAACCACTGTTCTACTTTCTGTCTCTATGAATTTGACTACCTAGGTTCTTCATGTAAGTGGAATCATACACTATCTGCAACTGGTCTATTTCACTTAGCATAATGTCCTCAAGATTTATCATGTTATAGGATATCAGAATTTCCTTCTTTTTTAAGGCTAAATAAATAATATTCCTTTGTATGTACACACCACATATTACTTACCCATTTACTCATCTAAGAACACATGCGTAGCTTTCACTTTTTGATTACAATGAACAGTGCTTATGAACATGGGTGGAAACGCAGAATTGTTTGGTAATTTAATTTTTTAAGGAAATGACATACTGCCTTCCACAGTAGATGCAACATTTTACATCCCACCAGCAGTGCACAAGGATCAGTTTCTCCAAACCCTTACCAATATTTATTTATTTTCTATGTTTCTGTTTTGTTTGTTTTAGATAGTAGCCCTCCTAATAGGTGTAAGGTGATATCACTGATAGTGAGACTTGTAACCATGATTTGATCTACTTGGTTTTTGCTACAGGGCATGTGTGTTTGCTGGAGAGACAGACAGAAAGCAAGAAATCACCCCCTGGAGGTATGGTCATGCCACAATCCCTTTTCCTCCATTTTCCTTTCAGGATCTGGGGCTCACACACACATATGCCCAATGTGAGTTATTTATTTATTTATTTATTTATTTATTTAGAGAGATTTTTGCTATAGGGTGCATGCGCTCACCAGAAAGACAGAGAGAAACACAGAGACAGAAAACAAAAAATCACTCCCCAGGGGGGATGGCCACACTGCAATCCCTTCTCCTCCATCCTCCTCTCGGGATCTTGGACACGCATGCACACGCACCTGGCTGAGTTTAAGCCACCGGGTCCGGGACTTGAACTGCGGTCTACTACATGGGAGTCCAGTAACATAGCCATTAGGCCAACTGCTGGTCGCCCCAGCATGAGTTTTAAGCTGCCAAGTCTGAGACTCAAACCCCAGTAGACTATGTGGGAGTCCAGCGACGTAACCATTATGCCATCTGCTGGTCCCGTAATCTATGTTTTAAGAAGACTGTTTAGATTGCTCTGTGGGAATCTGCTGGAGGGTGATGATGTCAGGATCTCATCACACATGAGCTGCAATGAAGAAAGGAGGGCGCAGGGAAGAGTGGCCAGAATGGTGAAGGTGAGTGATATGGAAGCCCAAGGCAAGTGGAAAGGGTTCAGAACAATTACTGGGCCTAGTCACCAAGGCACAAGTAGCAGCGTGCCACTGTGCAAGGCTGCGGTCATATCAAAGGTCTGGGTCTGGACCCTAGACCACCCTGAACAGGTCAGTATAGTGGTGTGTGCCTGTTGTCCTAGCCAACTAGGAGGCTAAGACAGAGGATCACAATGGCAAGACCCTGTCAAAACAATGCCTTGTTCTCTCCCTCCTCTTCATGCTCATGGGTGTGTACACTCATTCTCTTTCTCTTATTAAAAAAAAAAAAAAAGAAAAAACAGGGGCACCAAGTAGCATGGTAGTTAAGGAAGCTGGACTCCAAAAGACCAACTGAATGGTTAAAGTCCCAGACCCAGAGCCTTGTGAAACTCACTGGGCATGTGTGTGTGCATGCCTAAAATTCTGGAGGAGAAGAGATTGTGGCGAGGTCATCTCCCGACGGGATGCTTTCTTTCTCTCTTTCTCTCTTTTTCTTCAGTGAGCACACATGCCCTATAGCATTTTTTTTTTTTAAAGTTATTGCTGATTAGACATAATTAAATGTAATAGGATTTCTGGGCAATTCTCAGGTTCAGTTTAGTTTTGACGACTGTAAATTTATAGTCATGCCAAAATTCCTTTAAAAACCTGAGGAGGTCAATGAAAACAAGAGAAAAAGTCAAATAAAGCAGAAATAAATGGGCATAACTACATATCAAACAGATAATAGTACACATTCGTTGTAACTGTATTATAATGCAAAACAAGAATTAATCCAAGTGCCTTCTGAACACAGTATTTTGACTATATACATCATCAAAGGACAGAAAGAAACCAAAAGAAACTATTTAAGAATCTTACTTAGTAGGTAGGTACCAATGTAGCAGTTTATTTGTGTGTGTTTTAGGATCAAGTAAAGGAGTAAATACACTGATGCTATTGGAAATCAGGGTTCTTGCCACAGGAGAAGGTAAATATAAGTATGAAATAAAAAGAATCTTGGGCAACAGCAGAGGGTGTAATGGTTGTGTCACAGGACTCCCATATGGTCGACCACAGTGCGAGTCCCAGACCTTGAGGCTTAAAATTCATGCCGGGTGCGTGTGCGTACGTGCCCCAAAATCCCAAGAGGTAAATGGAGGAGAAGGGACTGTGCCATGGCCAATCCCCCAGGGAGTGATTTCTCACTTTCTATCTCTCTCTGTCTTTCCAGCGAGGGCACACACCCTATAGCAAAAAATCTCTCTAAAAAAAGAAAAAATTGGGTCCAGCAGTTAGTGTAATGGCTATGTCGCTGGACTCCCATGTAGTCGACAGTGGCTTAAACTCACGCCAGGTGTGTGTGTGTGTGCCCAAGATCCAGAGAGGAGAATGAAGGAAAAGGGACTGTGGTGTGGCCATCCCCCCTGGGGGGTGATTTCTTGCTTTCTGTTTCTCTCTGTATTTACGGCGAGCACATGCTCCCTATAGCAAAAACCTCTCAAAAAAAAAAAAAAAATTGGGAGTTATATTAAAAATGCAGGTGCTAGGGCCAGCAGATGGTGTAGTAGTGGTTACATCGCTGGATTCCCATATGATCAACCATGATTTGAGTCCTAGACCTCGTAGCTTGAAACTCATGCTGGCCATGTGAGTGTGCATGCCCAAGATCCTGGAAGGAGAATAGAGGAGAAGGGATTGCAGCTTGGCTGTCACCCCGGAGAGTGATCTCTCACTTTCCCTCTCACTGTGTCTGTCTGTCTGTCTCTCCTTCTCTCTCTGGTGAGTGCACATGCACTAAGGCAAAAATCTCTACTAAAAAAAAAAAAAAAAAAAAACCCAAAAACTGCAGGTGCCAGTTTGAACTCAGAATTTAAGCAAAAAAACTCTCTAGCTCTATCCATGGAAAGAATCCTAGAATTATAGTACTGTATACCAACTATATGACATTCTGGAAAAGGCAAAACTGTGGAAAGAGTTAAAAAGAGCAGTGATTGCCAGGAGTGGGGGGGGGGAGTGGTGGATAGGAGGAGCACAGAGGAGTTTTAGGGCAGCCAGCTACTCGGGAGGCTAGCATGATGTGGATACATGTCATTAAACATCTGTCAAGCATACAACACCAAGACTGAGCCCTAATGTAGACTACAGACTGCACGATGATGGTGTGTCCATGGAGGTTTGACTAACAGATGCACGGCTCTGATGCAAGGTGCTGATAGGAGGGGGCTGTGGCTATGTGGGGTCAGGGGCTGAATGGAAATGCTCTAGACTTTCTGCTCAATTTTGCTGGAAACCTAAACTTGCGCTGAAAGATAGCCCACTGGAAAAAAGTTAGGGGCAGAATGGGAACCTGATGAGGCACACTTCCTCCCAGGAGCCTACTTTGACTGAGCCATTTGGCCTGGCCCTTCTGCTCTGCAGCCACTGGAGTACCTCCTGATCACATCATTTCACTTCACATGACATTTTTCCATGAGAGTCTTTTCTTCAAATAAATTAAAAATGGAAAAGAGATGGGGCCAACAAGTGGCTCAGTGGTTAAGGCCATGGATTCCCATGTGACTGACCACAGTTAGAGTCCCAGACTCAATGGCCTGAAATTCACGCCAGGCCTGTGTGTGCATATGTGTATGTGTGCCCAAAATCCTGAGAGGAGAATGGAGGAAAAGGGATTGCGGCATGGCCATCGGGGGGGTGATTTCTCACTTTCTGCCTCTCTCTGTGTCTCTGGCAAGTGCATGTGCCCTAGAGCAAAAATCTCTCAAAAAATTAATTAATTAAAATAAAATAAAGGGAAAAGAGAACTTAGAAGTCAACATGCCTAGGCATAAAAGGCTCTTCTGTTCACCTCCCTCAGTTTTCTGGGTACCTCCACCCCATTCCTTAAATCTTACCATTGGTTCTCTCTTCTTTTCCCCAGAAATAAGACATCATAGAGAAGTACCTGTGGAAGTCACTGAGGTGTTCTGCATCGATATAATCATCCAAGGTCAGGGTCAAGTCTGCCACTTGCTGTGAGCTAGGTTCCTAGAGAAACGGATGTCGAAGATGAGAAACTGGGGAAATTTCTGGGCTAATGAGTGGGTGGGTGGAGGGACAGCAACAATAAAAGAATCATCCTTAAGGAATTCTCACATATGTATGCAGAAAGACTATACGAGAACTGTAATAGATGAAATATTCTTTTAATGCCTAGGGACTTTTCTGATTTAGGAAACGGCCTTTCCAGAGGCCAGGAAACGATTACTCCCCAGGCTTGCTCATCACAGGCACAGGAACGTGACTGAGGTGCCAGGTGGATGTGCACCTTTGACTTAGAGAAGCATCAGGGCAGCCGCAGAGGCTGCAGGGGTCACAACGTCAGAAGGGGCACCAGGGCTGGTGGCACCAGCCAGTACCTCATGCTCAGGGGAGGTGGTAGCAGCCCAGTTTCCATGGCATGGTTTGGAATACTGCTTCTGGAAGCCCAGCCTCAACCTATTTCTGTGAGCTAGGCTGGTTCGTTCAATAAACTCTTTCTGATAAACTAACCTGAGGGGATTTTATATTTGCAACTGAGAACCTTGTCTGTCACAAGATCTGAATGTTCATCAGAAGCGAAAAGGAGGGGCCAGCAGTTGGCATAATAGCTATGTTGCTGGACTCCCATGTAGTCGACTGCAGTTCAAATCTCGGACCTGGTGGCTTAAACTCATGCCGGACGCATGTGCATGAGTGCTCAAGATCCCAAGAGGAGAATGGAGAAGGGATTGTGGCATGGCCGTCCCCCGGGGGGGTGATTTCTTGCTTTCTGTCTCTCTCTCTCTGTTTTTCTGGTGAGCACATGCACCCTATAGCAAAAACCTCTCCAAAAAAAAAAAAAAAAAAGAGAGAGAAAAGGATAAAGTATATTATAGAATACTACACAGCAGTTAAAATGAGTAAGGCATATCAGTATGTATTCCTAAGTCAAGACCTCCTAAGTAAACTGAATGAAGAAAAGTTGCAATATAACACATATTGCAGGATATTTTCATATGATCACACATGTATGACCACGACCAAAATAAACATAACTGAAGTCACTGTGCTCATGTGCTTACGGTCCAGCATCAGAGCACAGACATTAAAGCAAAGCACAGGTGCAGCTGTGGTGGCACAGACAGGTGGAGGTGGGGTGCGTGCTGCTGTACAACATTGGAGCCACGTGGAAGACCACAGCTCTGATTCTGGGTGGCCCTAAACCATGCTGGGCACGTGGAGCACAGCCACTGCCCTGGCTGGCTGGAGGGTTGGGGTAGGAGGTCACAGCATGGTAGGACTTTGTCAAAGGTGCTTGTTTCTCACTCTCAAGAAATAAAATTAATTTTTAAATAAAGCAAAAATAAGTACATATTTATAAGCTGTGAGAAGTACAAGGCAGGAAAATAAAATGATGGAGTAAGAAAGACATAATTCCAATTTTTTTTTTTTTTCAAAGTGGGGACAGGTAGTCAGGACTGAACATTTTTAAAAAAGGATTATTTTATTTAATTTTGTTCAGCATTATTTTTTTTTTCTTTATTTTAATTTGACCGAGGTGGTGGGGAGCAAGAAAGCAAGCTGCCAAGTCCAGGACTCAAACAATGGTCAGCCATGTGGGAGTCCAGCACCTTACCTATGCCACCTGCCAGCCCCAGGACTGAACTTTTTGAGGAAGTGAAAAATGAGAGGGAGTTAGCCAGGCTGAAAGAATGGTGGAGTGTGCATGCACGTGGGTGTGGCGGCAGATCGCAGAGGGGAAGAGCTGGCTCACAGGAAACGTGGTGCAGGGGCTCTAGGGCCAGCAGGAGCCCCACTTGTCTAAGGAACCGAAGTAGCCTACTGGGGCTACGATAAGATGTGTTGTCACTAAATGAATTTACCTTAATTTATGTAACCATTTGCTGTTGGTAAAAGTCCCCCCTTTTATACACCTGATGTGAAGATCTCTGCACACAGCTTCTCCGTATTTAGGGTTCTTACCTTGGATTAAGGTCCAGAAGTGGGATCACTAAGGAAATGTTTCATGACCATTTATGGCTCTGGATCTCTACTGTTAAATGGGCCTCCAAGGGGCCACCTTTACTCCACTCACATCAGCAGACCCCTCGGTGTCTCCGAGACTCACCAGCACGTTGACGATCATGCTGTTCTCCACGGTAACGGCTTTCACAAGGAGCTTTCTGGACCCGTCCTTCGACTCATACCGGAGGACGTACAGGTCTTTATTGCTATCCCACCCGGCTGGCAGCAGTTCTGACTTCTTATCAGTGGGGCCCGGCTGAGAAGACACCAAGGTTGAGATGAAGAAGCTCCTTAGAGTTACTCTAATTCTCTCCCACCCCCACACTTCACAGATGAAGTGATGGAGATCAAGAGAAGTGGCTGGCCCGAGGTCACGGAGCGAGTTAGAGGTCTCTGGACTCCTGTACCAAAGCTCTCACCTTCATATCTCACTGCCTTTGTGACACAGTCCTGGAAACCATCAAGAATCTGCAGACCTGTTTAAAAATCATCTCCTCTCCATCCCCTGCCACAAATAGAGCTAATGATCCCAAGAGAGACTGTGAAATTCTAAAGTAGTGTTTTTCAAAGTTTGTACCCTGAGCCCCTTGCAACAGATCACCAAAGCGTGGCTACAAACACAGATCCTAACGTAGTCTCCCCAGTCGTATGCGGTACTTAAAAGATATCATGAAGAGTGTGCAGAACATCCCAAATGTAGCATGTGCACAGAAGAAAAGGACCATAAGATGGACACCTCTGTATCTACCACCAGTTTAAGAAATCAAACTTTGCCAATCCTGCTAAAGCCTTGGGGAGCATACCCCAATGAATCTCCTGCCTTTTCCCTCAACGGTAATCACTACTCCATATTTTAAAAAATCTCTTTACTTTTCATTGAGTTATATTGCTGTACATGCAACCCTAAAACTATATTATTTCAAATGTTAGGTACTTTATATAAATGGCATCGCTTCTGCCACTTGTCTTTTCTTATCTGATGTTGATTTGGGAGGTCCATCCATGTTGGTGACCTTAACTACAGGTGATTCACACTCACAGATATGTGGCCATCTACTCTATGAATATGCTCCAGTGAACGCAGTCACTCGCCGATGGAGACGAGGAGTGTTCCCAGTTTATGTTTCTGCACGATAAATAACACTGTCATGAACATTGTTGTACACATCTGGGATACATGTGGGTGGATTTCTGTAGACACGCTTGAAAGAACGACTTTTAATTTATAAGAAGTCCGTTGTTTTCCAAAGAGACTCTGATTAACACTCCCACTTGCCATGTCTGAGGGCTCCTTTGTTCCACGTGGTCAGCAACATTCCTGTGGTATAACCTGTCAGATCTTGCCAACCTGGTGGATGTAAATGCATCTTATATGAATTGTGATCCCTTCCTTTCTTTCCTTTTTCAAATAATCCTAGGGTTTGTCCTTTTACATGTGAAAGTTTGAGAAATAGTTCTTGAACTATTCCCGTAGTAAAAACTAATACAATTATTTCTGGGTGGAGAAAGATTTCTTAGACAACATCCATAAAAGAAAAAGAAAAAAAACTGCTGCCTTTTAGACTGTTCATAATCTAAAGCTTCTGTTCCACAGCAGACACTCAGGCAGAGTCCACAGGCAGCCACAGGCTAGGAAAAGACATGTGCCATGGCCGCAAATGAAAAGAATTAATAACCAGCACGTGACAGGAATGGCTGGAGAAGTAGCAGTAAGAATTGGGAGCCCAAAAAACTGGCAAAAGATATCAGCAAAGAAAAGAGCAGCTACTAGTGTCAACTTTACAAGCAATCAGGGAAGCGCAGGTTGAAATAATGAGATACCAGGTTATACTGAGACCGATATACTTATTTTTCTATTTTTTGCCAGCTGTTTGTATGGCATGGAGAAAATGGGAATCTCCGGGCACCGCTGGTGGGCATTTCAACTCATACGAACCCTTTGGGGAGCAACCTGGCAGTATTTAGCGCAACTAGGTAAGCCAATAACCCTTGCCCCCTAGTTCCTACTCTTGGAAGAAACTCTGCACATGTAAAGGGGACATGACAAGGATTTTTGTCACAGCTTTGCCTAGGGCAGCTAGAGTGAGGTACAAAATACCCTTAAGTTGAATACTATATAGCAGCCAGAAGGAAGAAACTAATGGTAGCATTATAGATAACAGTAAAAAGGATGATTTAAATAAAAGTTCAGGAAAAAAATGAGGCTTACAGTAGGGGACCAGGTCCAGAAGCTGACATGTCCTATGTGGAGGGTGAGGCTTACAGCCTCATTTTTGTAAAAGATCTGAAAAGCACACACAAAATACTATGTATCTTTTTAATAGATTCATATTTACATTGTTCAACAGGGAGCAGGTAGACTAGAAAGATCTGTATTCATGAGAACATGGCAGGAGACAGTGGGGCCACAACAGAGAACAATGGCAAAAGACAAAGGTCTGGCCATGCAGGGCTTGCTATGAATTGAGAATTGCTGGCCTCTCTTCTTTGGTCACCCCTGGTGTTCAGGAATCCACTGGGGGAAGCAGTCCCAAATAAAATTCAGGATGTCAAAACTGGCATGGTTTAAAACTGGGCTGGATGACAATGAAATTCACAGGCCTGAGGCAGAGAAATGAAAGTGACAAAAACAAAAGTGAAACTCATCAAACCATCCCACTAAGTGAGAAAGAGAAACTTCCCTCTTACCCTCACATGGGTAAATTTTCTGTAACATGTCTAGTGCTGTGTATTTAAAATCTACTGTGGGCATCAGGAATTTGCTGATATGCCTCATCTTTGTTCTGAAAGAGCCTTTTCATTTATATTATATCCTCTACATACACAGCATTCAACCTACTAGGATTTTCTCTCGGAATATAGACAATTTGGTCTGCTCACCATCCCATTACCTTTTGCTTTCAGAGTAAGAAAGAATCCTGAGGTCGGGCGATCCCGATGCCTCTAACTGTGACGAACTGAAGTTCGCCAGAAAACAAATGGGACTGCGAGGATGGGCCCTGGTGATATCAAGCCAAACGTGGCATTTAACTGCCCTGCTGGCCCTGAGATCAAATATCAAGAGTCCCAGAAGGCCTACAGTTGGGGAGCAGCCAAAGTGCATGGCTGTGTAGTTTAACTCCTCGGATGAAAATCTAAGGCCTGAAGAGGGGCTGAGGATCACGTAAGGTCGCAGCAAGTCAGGTGCAGGGTTGGGTTTGGAATTCAGAGCTGCTGGCTCCTCAGACTTACTGGCTGGAGATTTTCCCAGCCAGATCCACCAGGCAGACCCCAGGAGAGTAAAAACACTCGTTTTAGGCAAAACCCTGGGTTGGAAGCATTCTTTAATGATCGTTAGTTCACCCCAGGACTTCTGGGCAAAAATATACCCCCCAAATTAAAATAGATCATTCTGGGCATTCTCTCTTTCATCATAATCCTTAGATTCCCATGAGAGAAAACAAAGTTCTCTAACTTAAGTTACAGCCAGCTCTATCCGTTTGCCACCTAAACCACTGGACATAGCTGCGAACCTCTTATGAGGAGCAGTGCTGACGTCAAGAAAGAAATCCAGATGTAAATGCCAAGTATTTGTTGCAGCCAGTGGCTGCACTGCTCTTCCAATCCAGTTTTATGGATTCAATTCCCCTCTACCAAAGAAAACAAAACCAAAGAGGAGGCAGACAGTCTAGCTTTCTGTTTAGCAGTCAATATGCTATACAGTCAAGTGCACACACACTCTTGGGGCCTTCCTTGCCCACTTATCACCCCCAGAAGGGAGCAGAGGTGACGAGAGCAGCAATACAAACATCCCCTGAGCTTGGCCAACACAACTGGTCACAGCCGAGTCTGCTGACCCCAGGCTAGAAAATTAAACTCTCTCTTAAATAAATCAACAGAGAAGATGCCTTTCTAAATGGCTCCGACTCAGAATGGAAGTGGGGGGCTGTCACTCCTGGGTTCCAAGTTCTCAAATGTTGAAAGGGCAAGGTAGGTGGAACAAAGTGCAAGGTGAACAAGAAAGCCATGCATTTGGGAGGAATGGTTCCTGCTTCCAGGTGTGTGTGGCAGGCTGGCTTCTTTCCCAGCTTCTTCTCTAACCCTAGAACCCACGTGAGGGATGAAGTATGTGTGAGCCTGGAGGTGGAAATAGGAACACTATGGGGCCTCAGTGAAATAGGTAAAGTCTGAGGGGAAAAAAGAACCAGAAGTCCTGGTTATTCCCGAGCTCAGATTCCCACTGATTGAGGTAAAGGGTAAGAGGAGTAGAGTGGCCTTGGCCTTGGTCTCCAGTTCTAAGGGACAGAGAAGAATGGGGAAGTAGCGAGGGAGGGAGGGACACCTGGATAAGTGCTCAGGACATACAGAGCTGAAGCTGTGCCAGCAAGGGAAAAGTAACAAAATTCTGATGCATATCTGATAAACTATAAAAATGATTATGTTTGAGAACTGATGTAGTCAGAAATGAGAGAAAGCTGAAATCTCAAGATATAAGGAGTATGGTGGCCTACCCTACCATGAGGGTGAGAGGTCAGTGACAGGGGGCAGGCCTGCAGTCCTGAATGTGTCTAGGTGGGAGCATGGCTGGGAGGACATTTCTCTAATAGATCAGATGAGAAATGAAGGGCCAGTAGGGGACCAGGTCCAGAAGCTGACATGTCCTATGTGGAGGGTGAGGGTTACAGGAAAGGGGCAGAGAGGAGGGAAAATTCTAAAGAAAAAATTGGGCTGGGCTCAACAGTTCTAGGGTTCTGGCAAGACAAGGCCCCAGATGTTAAGAGGCAGAGTCTGCAGACAGGAGGGGGGAGGCGGCTGACCTTAGGGACAGTTATGGGGAGGAAACTTTACTTGGCTCTCACACCCAGGTGTGTGTACATGTGTGACGCGTGGTTGTTTCCTGGTGCCTGAGTTGACGATGACAGCAGGGTGTGGACTGCACTGGGTTCTTTAGTGTGAGTTCTCCAGGGGCCCTGGGCTGGAGCTGAGCAGCTCAAAGCTCACCCCTATGCCCGTGCTAGGACTCAGCCGTCTGGTGGAGGCTCCAGTGCGGTATGAAAGTAGGTTGAGTCAGACTTAAGAACCCCAGCTCCAACCCGCGGCTGTGTGGACGGGGATCAGGCAGGTGAGAAGTGCTCTAGGGCGCTACACTGTCTCGGGCCAGATCCACACAATCCATCCAGGCTGAGAGATTGCCAGGCTGTGTTGAAGCGAGTTTCTGTCCTTGGGTTTACAAATCAAGTCTCTGCTCCCCAAGCTGGTCCCGGTTACGAGAGAGAGCAGTGCTGGCTGTGTTGGGTCAGGCTGCTGGCTGTGCTAGGATCGCTGCGCACCCCGGGTCCGCAGGATTTATTGACAGTGTCAAATGCCCCAGGCCCCGGACTTGGGGAGGAAAGATGGCCAGGCGCTCCGGACCTGCCTCCGGTCCTCTGGGTCTGGGCAGAAGGCAGCGCCCCCCTCTACCCAGGCAGGCTCCATGGCGTACCTGGTCGCCGGTACCCAAGGCGTAGTAGCCATGCGTCACCACCTCCCAATGCAGGAAGCAGACGAGCGCGTCCTGCGCGCAGGTGATGGCCGGCGCCGCCGATGCGAACAGGACCTCCAAGCCCGCCATGAATGCCCGCGGCTTCTGCGGGCGGAGGAAGGAAGGGGAAAGCGTAGTGAGCCGGGAGGGTCCCGAACAGGTACCGCTGCGCTCCGCTCCTCCGCCAGTTCTGGCAGCGTCTCCACCTTTTTTTTTCCAGCGCCTCCACCTGCAACCAAAATGGAGATGCCCAGGGGCCGGGCTAGGCCACCGGAAGTAACTCCAATCGCTGACGCAGTTGTGCAAGAAGCGCCGGGTTGGAAACACGAGCGCGACACTTAGAGGTTCCGACTGGGAGCATTCAGGCCGCGCCGGCGGGGCGCTGTCCATCAAAGCTTGGATCCCGGATTCCCGCCCCAACCCTCGCAGCCTGCAGGTGCCACAACCCTCAAGGAGAGGTCACCCACCTTACGTGAGCCCCAGAGCGCCCATCTGATAAAGGGAGTGTGCTAGGCAGGAAGAGGCTAGGCAATATGGTAAAAATGTATTCACAGTCATCATAGCATTGCCACGTGCCACATTTTCTAAATGCTTTACTTGTATTCATTTATTGAATCCTCACGACCCAATCCGATGAAATTCATTTGATGATAGTCTTATTTCACAGATGAAAAAACTGAGGAACGGAGGGATCAGGGTCAAACATTTGACCAAGCTGACACAGCCAATGAGTGGCAGAGACAGTACTGGGACCTAGCAGCCTGCTGCCTACCCTAACGTTGTTAGGTGTTTATTGTGTGTAAAATCCTGTGCCAAAACTTTTGCATCACCCTCTCAACGACTCTACCAGTAGATTCTGTTATCATCTCCCCTCTGCAGGTGATGAAACAACTTGTGTCCAAGCCACTTCCCCAAGACACTGCAGAGCTGGAGCTCTTGGCCCACTATTTCCCTACCCTCTTCATGATTTTCACCACCTTCTATTTCATCAATGAATTTTTTTAAGTCCACTTATTGATTTCACTAAAATATAGTTAAAAGAATTAAAGACAGGGACTATCAGGTGGCATGGTGGTTAAGGCACTGGACGCCCACATAATAAATCATGGTTTGAGTCCCAGACCTCATGGCTTAGAACTCACGTTGGGCATGTTACCTGCATGCCAAAATGTGTGTGTGCCCAAAATCCCAAGAGGAGAGTAGAGGAGAAAGGATTGTGGCACGGTGAGCCCCTTTGGGGGTGATCTGTGTGTGTGTGTGTGTGTGTGTGTGTCCAGTGAACATACAGGCCCTATAGCAAAAACTTAAAGGCAAAGGTAACCAGTGTGTGAGTACACATGCCCTATAGCAAAAACCTCAAGGCAAAGGTAACCAGTGAATACACATGCCCTATAGCAAAACCCTAAAAATAATTAATAATAATAATTAAAGACAAGTAACTAGTGTGAAAACTGCATGCTAGAGGAGCACGCAGAGGCCTACACAATACCAGAGAAACAATCTCACTCAGGCTAAGGGTTGGAGATGGCTTCTTGGAGGAAGAGGTGATGGCCACCTGCCCAGAACCTTAATGGAAGATTAGGTAGGAGTGGACTAATGGAACAGAAATATTCCAGAAAAAGAGAGCAGCCTGTGGAAAGGCCTGCAAGTATGAGATGCAGCTAGTTTTGTGTGATTTGAGAGTCAGTGCTGCCTCCTCAGTGAGGAGTTCCATCACTCTCCTCAGCACACTTGGCATCAATGGGGTACCAAGGTAGGGATGGGACCATGAGACATACCACCCTCAGCAGGGAGAGAACTTTATCATTGAAGCTGACTAGAATGGCTAGTTCATGGGGATAATACAGAGAAGGCCAGCTTTTGGCCAGTTTTATTAGGCTTTTAAGTTTGGTTTGCTTTTTAGTTTTGTCATAGGGTACATGCACTTGTCAGAAACAGAGAGAGATAGAGAAAAATGAGAAATCACCCTCCAGGGGGGATGGCCATGCCACAATCCCATCTCCATTTTCTTCTTGGGATTTGGCTTTTAAGTTTTTGTTTTTATTTTTATAGACAACATACCCCTCTTAGCCTGTCTGGGCAGATGGCTCTCTCACCCAGCCCTTGGCTTAGCTTTGCCTTGCATACAGGTATAACTTATATCTCACAGAACTTTGGTTCTCTGTTACACACTGTCATCCTCGTCTTAGCATGGGTTTCCTCAAACACCAGTGCTGAGTCAAAGATCTGAATGGTTTATTTAGGAGCTAATTCCAGGACATAGCAGTAACAGAGGGGGGAAGTCAGACAAGCAGGAAAGGCAGCCAATGGAAGGTGCATGATCAAGAATTTTCTCTAATGGCAGCTGGAATGCCCTCCTGCTGGGGAGTGTGAGGAGGCAGTGTAGAACAGTTCAGAGCTGTCCAGTTGAGGGTCTGGGAACCAGCCCCAGTGAAGTGTCGCTTCACTCACATCCCACCTGCCACAGACTGAGAGCGGCTTCTGGGGTCATAAGAAGCCCTCAGGCAAAGAGGTGCAGAATTTAGAGAAAGTGGTCTTTGGTGCTTAGAGTGAGTAGGGCATTGTAGCAGCATCTGCTATGCCCTACCAACCCCCAAGCCTTCGAAAGTCTGTAATCCAGCGGCCAACATGGAGCAGCCACAGTATCTGTGAATCTAAAGAACTGTGCAAGCCCTGTCTCCAGTAAGCAGTGCATCCCCTGAAGGCCAAGGCCATGCAATGTCTGTCCTGAACCCCAGGATCCCCCATGGATAGGAACAAGGGATCCCTGTGGCTAAAACAATTTCTATAGACTTACCTACATTAGTAAGAGTCCCAGTCTGTCTGTGAGGCCTGCGAGTGTTTGAGAGGGAAGCAGGTGGTAGGTGCCTCCCAGCTGGGCCCCCACTACCTGGGCAGAACACAGCCCATGCCAGAGATGAGGGCCTAAGATGATAGAAAAAACTGAGCAGGTGGCCACAGCCCCCAGTCCCTGGTTGCCGAGTGATAGCAATGTGGCTATTCCAAGCTTCTCATCTCCTTGGAAACCATGAAGAAGTGAGGTGGAATCATTCATCAATCATTCATCTCTGGAATTCTCAACCACCTGTCCTCCTCCAGGAAGCCCTCCATGATTAATATTGTTCTTTGCTCTCACTAGTGACTAGCTAGTACTCAAAACTTACCATCCCTCTGTCAGTGGGCTGCCCCACATACTTGACGCCCAGAACAAATTACTTTTTAAAATATATATATAATTTTAATGTAACTATTTTTAAAAGATATTTTTATTGTGGTAAAATATACATGATATCATCTTAACCATTTTTAAAGAATTATTTCATTTCATTTTATTTATTTATTATTATTATCATTAAAATTTGTTATAGATCACATGCACTCACTAGAGAGAGACAGAAAGTGAGAAAGCAAGCCACTAGGTCTAGGACTTGAACTATGGTTGACCATGTGGGAGTCCAGCACCTTAACCACCATACCACCTGCTGGACCCCATCTTAACCATTTGTAAGTATACTATCCAGTGTTATTAAATACATTCATGTTGTTGTGCACCAGTTGCCACTGTCTATCTCCAGAACTCTTTTAATCTTATAAAATTGAAAGTCTATACTCGTTAATCAATCACCCCATTTTCCCCTCCTCTCCAGCCCCTGGCCACCATTATTCTACTTTCTGTCTCTATGAGCTTGACTGTTCTAGGTACCTCATATAAGTAGAATCACATAGTAATGTCTTTTTGTGACTGACTTATTTCATTGAACATAATCTCTTAGAATTCTCCTCCTTTTTAAGGTATGTGTGTGTGTGTGTATTGGACCATCAAAAGTCATGACACATTTATAAGTCATGACTGTCTGATGACTCAATATATTCATATATATATATACATATGTGTATCATTCATCTCATATATATAGTTACATGTTATATATGTATATATGTGTGTGTGTATCACATTTTGTTTATTTATCCATCAGTGGACACTTGGGCTGCTTCCATCCTTTCAGTATTGTGACTAATGCTGTTATGAACGTGGGTGCACAAATATCTCTTGCAGACTCTGCTTTCAGTTCCCTAGGGGTAGGTGCCTAGAAGTGGAATTTCTGAATTACATGATAATTCTACTTTTAATTTTTTGAGCCATCACTATACTGTTTTCCACAGGGGCTGAACCATTTTACATTTCTACCAACAATACACAATGATTCCAATTTCTTCACATTTGTCCAACACGAGTAATTTTCTGTCTTTTTGATAGTAGCCATCCTAACACATGTGGGGTGATATCTCATTGAGGTTTTGATTTGCATTTACTTCATTATTAGTGATGGTAAGCATCTTTAGATGTACTTATAGGCCATTTATATATCTTAGAGAAGTGCTCATTTAGGTCCCAGGCCCATTTGTTTTTTTGTGTGTGGTTGAGTTTTTGTTGTTGTTGTTGTTGTTGTTTTAGAGAGATGTTTTGATACAGAGCACATGTGCTCACCAAAGAGAGAGAGAGAGAGAAAGAGAGAGAGAGAAAGAAAGTGATAAATCACCCGCCAGGGTGAATGGTCATGCTGCAATCTGTTCTCCTCCATTCTCCTCTTGGGATCTTGGGCACACACACACATATGCACCTAGCACAAGTTTCAAGCCAACTGGTCTGGATCTCCAACCACAGTAAGCCATGTGCAAGTCCAGTGACATAACCGTTACGCCATCTGCTGGTCCCTTGTGGTTGAGTTTTAAGAGTTCTCTATTCCAGGTATTGTTCCTTTATAAGATAAATGATTTGCAAATATTTTATCCCTTTCTATGTGTTGCCTTTTTATTCCATTGATAGCGTCTTTTAGTCTATAAAAGCTTTCCATTTTCATTTGCCTGTTCTTTTTTATTGTTTATGCCTTCAATGTTATATACAGGAAATCATTACCAAGTTCAATGTTTTAAAGATTTTGCCCTGTTTTCTTCTGAGAAGTTTAGAGTTTTAGGTATTATTTTTTTTCTTTCTTTCTTTCTTTTCTTTTTAGACAGAGCCTAACTGTGTCACAATCCTCCTGCCTCAGCCTCCTGGTTTTCTGGAATTACAGGCACATACTAATATGCCCAGCCTTTAGGTAGGACCAGAAATAGAACTTGGACCTCCCAAGAGGTCCCAGCCTGTGGAGCACAGTGTCTTAGCAGCAACCAGCTCTTTGATCCATTTTGAGTTAATTTTTGTGTATGGTATGAAGTAAAGGCCTTTTTATGCATGTGGGTATTCAGTTACCCTACCACTGTTTGTTGAAAAGATTCTCTTTTCTCCATCGAATGGTCTTAGCATCCTTACCCAAATGCATTTTGACCATACATGTGAGAATTTATTTCTAGGATCACTGTTCTGTTCCGTTGGTCTGTATGTCTGTTTTTATGCCAGTACCACACTGTTTTGATTACTGAAGCTTTGTAGTAAGTTTGGAAATTGGCAAGTGTGAGTCTTTTGGTGGCATGGTAACTTTTAAACACCCCCTTTCTCAACTATATCACGAAATCGATATCAATAATAATTATATAACAACAAAAATCTTTTTCTTGATACTTTTTTTCATAAAGATATGTTATATGTTGTTGAACTTCCTTGTTTAGTGTACAATTCTGTGGTTTTGGCAACTGTACACTGTTCTATAAGCACTATACCCTTGAAGTATTTCTAAAATGAAAACTTTAAAAAATCATTTTTATTGAGATATCATTTTCATACAATAAGATCACTCGTTTTAATTGTACATACACTTCAACACATTTGGGCAAATGTATAAACCTAACCTAATAAAGGTGTAGCCACCATTATTATCAAAATATAGAGCATATACACCCAACTCCAAAAGATTTTCTCATGCCCCTTTGGAGTTAACCTCTTCCACTTCTGACCCGCACAACTATGACCTGTTTTTTGTCTCTGTTGATTAATTTTGTTTTTCTTAAAAATTCATCTAAGTGAAATGTATATGTTGGGTGGAGTCCCAAGAGGCAGCTGTTAGGGTAGAATTAATAATGTTGTAGATCCATTGGAAATAGGTTCATGCAGGAAAAATGGGAGTAGGAACAGGACTATGGGAGAACCTTCAGTATATAATGAAGGTTTGGCACCCACGAAAGAAGAGAGAGAAGGAATAGGTGCTGGACAGGAAGAGCCTCAGCTTCAGAGAGTTCTGGGAACATCTCAGCCAGCACCAAGATTCCCCATGGAGTCCCATATTGGGCGGAAGTGACAGGCCTTGATTCTTCCTCTATGCTCAGTGGGCTGCCCACGAAGAGCATGGCTTTGCCATTATTCCACAGGTGCTTCAACTGCTTGGCATGTTCTTTCTTGAAGAAAGACTGGCACCCTTCTGTGGCTAACACATCAAATATGAGCTCCTTGGTGCCTGGCTTTTTCACTCAACATCACGCCTGAGACCTGTCCATGATGTTGTGTGTTTTGGTTCTTTTTTAATTCTGAATAATATTCCATTGTATGAACGTACCACAGTTTATCCACTCCTTTGTTGATGGGATTTGAGTTGTTTCTAGTTTGGAGTAATTATGAATCATGCTGCTATAAACATACACACCCAGGTCTTGATGTGGACAAAAGTTTTCAATAGTCTTGAATAAATTACTAGGTGTGAGATTGCTGAATCTTGTGGTAGAATTTTTAGTTTTGTTTTGTTTTGTTTAGAGGTTTTTGCCTTAGTGCCATGCACTCGCTAGAGAGAAAAAGAGACAGAGACAAAGAATCCCTTCTCCTCCATTCTCCTCCTGGGATCTAAGACACGCACCTACACACGCCTGGCATTAGTTTCAAGCCACTGAGTCTGGGACTCAAACCACGATCAGCCATACGGGAGTCCAACAATGTAACCACTATGCCATCTCCTGGCCCCAAGAGGTAAAATATGTTTATCAGAAACTGCCAAGTGGATTTCTAAAGTGGTTGCACCATTTTACACCCCTCCCCTGACCCCAACCATGACTGGTAGGTGCTTCGCAGCCACCTGGAAGGAATTTAGTATGGGAAAAATGTGGTACTTACAAAACTGCTGAGTGTGGTGGAATGTAAAGATTAGGGAAAGTTGCCAACAACTTTCATTTTTTTTGGGGGGGGGGAGAGGTTATTTTGTTTTTCTTTTGGTTTTGGTTTTTTTGTTTGTTTGTTTGTTTTGCTATAGGGCGCGTGCACTCGCCGGACAGAGAGAGACACAGAGACAGAAAGCGAGAAATCACCCCCCAGGGGGGATGGCCACACCACAATCCCTTCTCCTCCATTCTCCTCTTGGAATCTTGGGCACGCACACACATGCTCCCGGTGTAAGTTTTAAGCCACCGGGTCTGGGACGTGAACCACAGTCAACTACATGGGAGTCCAGCAACATAGCCATTACACTAACTGCTGGTCCTGCCAACAGCTTTCAGAGAATATGGAAGTTGCAGCAAATGCAGGAAGCTACCAGCAATGGTCGGTAAGGCTGCCTGCTGCCCTGGGATGGTACGCAAGGCTAACCTGCAGGGGCTGCTGCCTGACAGAATCCTCAAACTTTAGACCTTGGCTGGTAGAGTCAACAATGTGCCTCTGCTTCTGCCTCCCATTGGCTGAACCTCACTCAGAACCCTGCAGACAAGTCATTCTGAAAAACACACTTGTCAGGATTCAGGAGAGGGAGATAGAAGATGTGCATGGTGACGAAGGGGATGGTCCTGAGGCTTCAGCCAACAAATTGCCCAGTGTGGATTATCTCATTTAATTCACTCAACAACTCTTTAAGGTAGAAACTAGGATGACCCTCATTTTTTAAATGAGAAAAGTAAGGCACAGAGAGGTTGCATGGTTCTTGCTAAGCAGCAAAGTCAGGATGTGAACCAGAGGATAAGCATCATGTCGTGCCTCCAGTAGCATCTCTGAGGGCGTGCAGGGGCCCAAGCTCTGAGTTCTGAGGTCTACCCAGAAACAGGTGAGGATTATGACAGAGGATGCCTTTTTGGGC